GCCAGAGACGACGAACCAGAGTCCACGGAGCCAGATCCGGAAGTAGTCATGAAGACTTACTGGAGATGAGAGACGCGCAAATATGTCCTCAAAAAAAAAATCTGTTTAAAGAAGGGGCTCTGATACCATATACGAACGGAGTATTTGTGAATAATTGAGTTGCAGTAGTATTCATGTGATGAGGATATTTATACACGTACAGGGCATGTAACTAAGCCTACAAACTAGGAGAACAACCTATACAAGTGGAAGAGAACAAGTCTAATGCTATAAACAAGGGATAAACACACAAGCTACGTAACAACTATTCAAACTATGCATTCTTATCTACTTATCTCTAACAGTCTAAATGTCTAATTTCAATATAGGTCTTGTTGAGGAATATCATTTTCGATTATTATTAGTCTTTTGAATAAATTTTTAATGATGTAGTATAAAAAAAGTTATCGCTAAACACTATCATTAATTTTTTTCTTCAAAATATTAACGCTAAGTCCAAACACACTCACAATGTACAAAGAGAAGTATTTTCTCAATTTAAAAATATTTTTATTTTTATTTTTATTAAGACACTGGATGATTCACATTTTTTTCACCATATACTCCATCCTTTTCTTAAAATATTTTCTCTTTCAATTTTTTATTATCCTTGAAACATTTCCATTTTTATTAAAAATCACTTTACCTTTACTTTTTCTAACCCTACCTATCACATCATACTTTTTTCACTAATAATTTATCCATCACATCTTACTTTTATCCATTACATCAAATGCTAAATTGGAAATTCAATCACAAATATACAGTCCTTATTTCTCCTAAAATTAAAAATAAGAACCGTTTTATGAAACAGATGAAGTAGATTTTACTCCTTTGAACCAGATCGGTAAGAAAAATACTCCGCAAGTATATCTCCAATGGAGAGTGTAAAAAGTGTATATTATTAAACATATACACTTTATAGTTTATACACCACAAATACTACAATATACATATTTTTACCTCTCCCATGGATAGTGTAAAAAATGCACTTTAGTCCAAAATGTAATTCTCAACTTCTACATATACACTCCACTATTCACATGGTAGAATTTTTATTACGAAAATAAATATAATTCATTTTGTTCGTTTTACTTATCCTATATAATTTATTTAAAGTATCTAACCATTAGTAAATTATTGTTACTCTTTCAATTACTTTTACACTTTTATAAATAATTTTCTTACAAAAATGTTTTAGTACGTTTTTGATTTTTTAATTATATTTTCATTGACTAAATTATTTTATTCCATGTTTCTTCATATTCGATCTATAACCATAGTTTAAAACATACCATATACATTTTAAAAATTATAAATATTGTCACAAATAAACAACTTAAAATATTAAAATAAGATAAAAGTGTATTATATACCCCCGTCTCTAAAAGATTACTGCAATTTGTTTTTTTTGTCAAATTGTAGTATTCTTTGACCATAAATTATAAAAGAATATACTCCGTATTTAGTTATAATGTGAATATAGTAAAATTAAGCTTATTTTAAAACATAGTTCTGGAATATCAAGTTTTTTTAATATTTAATTATTTTAAACTATATTTAATTCATAATCAAATGGTGTTACAGTTTAACTAAAAAAGTTAAACTGTGTCAATCTTTTATGGAAAGAGAAAGTAGAAGATATAGTTGGAGTATATACTTCCTCCGTCCCAGAAAGAATGTCACGTTTATTATTCTGGCCTCTCGATAACTTTTGTTTGTTTACTCGTTTTGGACTTTGGTTGACCATTTGATAAAATAAAATATTCTTGTCGCATCTTGTTTTGTAGAGCTTTTCATATACTTTTAAATGGTGTAATTTTTACTTTTTATTACTCTACCAATTTGAAATTAAAGTGATTTTAAAAGAGATGATATTTTGCACGTCGTTCGAAGTGTTGCAAATAAATTGGGACGGAGGGAGTATAAAAAAAATAAGTATGGAGCATATAAAATAGTTAATAGTGTAAAATTGAATACTCCCCAAGTATGGAGTTTAACGTAGGATGGAGTAATGTTTAATTAGTAGGGATGGAGGTGCAGTACACATCCCCAATGTAACCGACACGGCGACATCATAAAGATCGACGAAATAACATAGTTGATAGTTGATGTCTCTCGGGTACGAAATTCAATTTTACTTTCAAAAAAAAAAAATCATAGTTGATGTGGCCCCCCCCCCAATGGCCGACGCGGTTTACACCGGGCCAAACGCGCCCTAAACCGACTAGGGAAGCAAAGAACCAAATCCGGAGTGAATCATACAGTAATTCACGTAACTCCGCATTACTTACTGCTGCTACTCAAATCGGCAGTGTTGAATCTGGAGCAGAGTGTTGTGAAACCGGTGGGAGGGAATTGAGTGTTGAAGATCCATACGCGGGGTTTTGTATTGCAGACCGGTGGGTATTATGGCTCTCGTTTGATTTCAGGAACTCGACTCCGCAGAGTGGAAAGTTCGAAACTTGGAGATCGGAGGAGTAGGGGAAGACTGGGTCTGCTCAATTCACTCACGCCCTTGGTATGAATCAGATCTTTGTTTGTTTATTTTGCCTGGGTTTTTGAATCCTGCTCTGGTGATTGTAAATGTTAGAACGGGTTCTTGATTCTGTGATAAAGATTGGTTCTTTGAGAGCTACTTTCATTAATTGGCCAATTTCAAGACCTGGGTTCGTTTTTTTCATTTTCCCTTCTCCCTTCTTTCTTTTGTTTGCGTTTTCTGTTTTTTCACATAGTCATTCATTAGTTTTTTTCCAGATGTGGTTGGGAGATTAAGTTTTAGTGTGGCACAGATGGTGATCAGATCCCTTCTTTTTTCTTCTTGATCTATATTTAGTGTGGGCTAGTTGCTAGAACCATAGATGTGGATAGTATTGAATGGCCGGAATCTCAACGGCAGAGATGCCTGATTCATTTTCAAGTGCATATTCTTATGGAAATGAGAGATTCCTCTCTGTATTTAGATCTCTTTGAGTCTTTAATGATAGTTTGTAGACACAAACTTTGTCTATTCAATAGCTCCTTAGTGACTCTTTGTTCCATTTATGACCAATTTGCTTTTGAAATATACCAGCAAAACTAGTCGGAACATTGTGACGCTCTTCATTACCTTTCTTGCTAAACATGTGAGGAATCTATTTCAGGATTGTAATGGCAAGCAAACTAGCCTCTGGGGACAACCGGACTAGAAGGTCCGTATCGATATTCATCATATGTGGTCTATGTTGTTTCTTCTATCTGCTTGGAGTGTGGCAAAGAAGTGGGTTTGGCAAGGGAGACAGCATAGCCTTGGAGGTGACAAGGTCTACCACAGACTGCAATGTATTGACAAACCTTAATTTTGAGACCCATCATGGTGGTCAGCCTGGCAGTGGTGATGATGACTCTGACTCAAACATGAAAAAGGAGATTAAACCTTGTCATCCTCGTTACACGGATTACACTCCGTGCCAAGATCAAAACCATGCCATGAAATTCCCTAGGGAAAACATGATCTACAGAGAAAGGCACTGCCCTCCTCAAGAAAAGAAGTTGCATTGCCTTATTCCTGCACCGGAAGGGTACGTTACTCCGTTTCCATGGCCAAAGAGCCGCGACTATGTCCCCTATGCTAATGCACCTTACAAGAGCTTGACAGTTGAGAAGGCCATTCAGAACTGGATTCAGTATGAGGGGAACGTCTTTAGGTTTCCAGGAGGCGGGACGCAGTTCCCTCAGGGAGCTGATAAGTATATCGATCAGCTTGCTTCAGTCATCCCTATCGAAAATGGGACTGTTCGGACTGCATTGGACACTGGTTGCGGGGTATGTTTTTTGAACTATAATTTGGATCATTTTTAGGGAGTTGTTTTTTTCCTTTACATTCTTCATTGACATTCTTATGTGGCATTGCTCGTACTAATCATTACTCCCTCCGTCCCATAATAATGTTCCAATTTTGCATTACGATGTTTGACCGAAGTTGTTTTCAATTCCATTTTTATTAAAGTTGGTGTATAATTAAAAAATAAACCCTATTTATTTTAAAAACTACTTCAATAGTTCTACGCAACAAGTAGTGACAAGACTATTTGATCTTATCAAATGATCAATAGAAATAGGTAAAGAAAGTGAATATAGTTTGACCGTGCGAATAGTAAAGTGGAACATTATGGGACGGAGGGAGTAAAATACTCTGCACAGTTACCACTCCAAAAGCTAACAGCTTCTTTTGTATAATCTATGTTGTGTGTTTTTATAAGGAGTGCTTTCTAATCCAACCACTGAAGTGCTTTCTTAAAACAAGCACACAAAGTCAAAAAGTGTATTAAAAAGCACTTTTTTCTATTTTATGTTTTTTGAAAAAAGGCGTTATTTTTTAAAATAGTTCATATCAAATGCACTTTTGAATCCACACAACAGATGTCACATAAGGGTTCTCACGAATGCTATGAAAACATGTCTCCTAATTTGCTCCATATATATTTTTTCCTGAAAGAGTATCTTCTGCCGTTCGCCTTACAATGTATACCAAATGCACTTGCTGTTAACGTAGGTTGCAAGTTGGGGTGCTTATCTATGGAAGAAGAATGTGATAGCAATGTCATTTGCCCCTCGAGATTCACACGAGGCACAAGTTCAGTTCGCCCTGGAAAGGGGTGTCCCTGCTGTCATCGGTGTTCTAGGGACTATCAAGATGCCTTATCCCTCTAGAGCCTTTGATATGGCTCATTGTTCTCGTTGTCTAATTCCATGGGGGGCTGCTGGTAACTACAATTTTCCAATAGATAAAGACTTGTTTATTTACATGAAATTTTAGTATTTCTTGGTTCCAGACACATTGGCGGATCCACTTGCAATGAGTAGGGGGCAAATGCCCCCAACTAATTTTTTGTGATAAGGTTAAAAATAGAGAAATTTACCTAAATAGGACTAAAACATAATGACTTTTCCAATATAGGACCATATGTTTTTATTTCCCAATGTAGGACTTTTGGTCATTATCAAGTAGTCATTATTCAAGTAAATGTCCATCATTACTGGACATTATTCTTCCCACTAGGTAATTATTAAGTCCTATTTAAGGAATAAAAAAGTTTAAGTCCTACATTGGGAAAGTCATTATGTTTTAGTCCTATTTAGTGCAAATTTTACTTAAAGATATTATTATTTTAGAATTTTATGTATATATGTCCCCAACAAAAAATTAATTTGATCCCATTTAATTAAGTCAAATTTAAATTTTTGTTTAATTTTTTTAGTAAAGAGTATTTTATTGTATGCAATTACTTGTTTATAAAATAAAATTTCACCTTACCAATCAAAAAATATATTACACTTAATAAATATTTGAAATAAATTTTATTTTGTTGCCATTTCAAATAGTCTATAAAAACAATTCGGGGGCGCTGCCCCTGAACTCCGATCAATGCTGCCCCCATCTACTTCATTTTCTGGATCCGCCACTGTCTAGACAGATCCTAAAACGACCTACCCTGTTAGTCCCAAAAGCGGGGTCAGGGGAGGGGGGTAGACCTTACCCCTACCTTAAAAAGCTAGAGAGGCTTTTTTTGAATCACTTGCCTTATCTGTGCTATACTGTGTTCTCTTCCATATTTTTGTGCAGGTGGAGCCGGGGGTCTCTTGGAAACAGCCTCCCTACTTCCGAGTAGGGGCAAGGTCTGCGTACACACACCCTCCCCAGACCCTACTGATGTGGGATTCAGCTGGGTTGTTGTTGTTTTCCCGGGTCCCGGCTCCAAAAGAAAAACCATATAAAAGAAGGAAAATGGTCTTTATTTGTTTATTGCAGCAGTTGAATGATTTTTGCTTTTTTATTTTTTTTCTTCCGTGTCAGATGGAATCCTAATGATGGAAGTTGACCGGGTTCTTAGACCTGGAGGCTACTGGGTGCTCTCTGGCCCTCCTATCAATTGGAAGGTCAACTACAGAGCTTGGCAACGCCCTAAAGATGAACTCCAGGAAGAACAGAGGAAAATTGAAGAGGTTGCTAAACTTCTATGCTGGGAAAAGAAGGCTGAGAAGGCTGAAATTGCAGTTTGGCAGAAGAGGATGGATGCTGATTCGTGCCGCGTGGCACAAGAGGATTCTAGAGCTGCATTTTGCAATTCTGCAGATCCAGATGATGTTTGGTATGTCGTTGGAACTCATGTCTTGTTTGGTACAAAGAATAAATCTTTTCTTCATAATATATTTTTCTTTTCCAGGCCTTTACAAAAATGTTCCTAGGCCTAAACATTGAGCCAATAATATCATTCTTACTTACGAAACAACAGAATTCAAAATTTCCCCTTATCCTTTCCCCACGGGATTCAAATTTCATTCCTTCTATGTTCATTTCCGCGTACCAAATGTGCCATTATAAGACCTTGACATTTCTCCACAGGAAAAAAGAAAGGACATTGTAAAATCATTCTGTTAATATTAATATTTATTTTGTTTTAAAGGTATAAGAAGATGGAGCCATGCATTACTCGATCACCAAATGCGAACATAGACGAGCACCTGAAGCCATTCCCCGAGAGACTGAATTCTATTCCCCCGAGAATTGCTAGTGGATTGATTTCAGGAGTGTCAGCGGAGGAATACCGAGAAGACAAGAAAATGTGGAAGAAACATGTGAGTGCTTATAAAAGAATCAACAAAATCCTTGATTCCGGAAGGTATCGTAACATAATGGATATGAATGCTGGATTGGGAGGTTTTGGTGCAGAGCTTACATCTCCAAAGATGTGGGTTATGAATGTTGTGCCCACAATAGCTGAGAAGAACACTTTGGGCGTTATATATGAACGTGGAATGATTGGCATCTACCATGACTGGTACCATTCTCTCTTTTCTGCTCTCTAATAAGTAAAGTATCTTTGAGTTTAATCTGTTTGATTCCTTATATGCTTTATGGCTAAAAAAATCAAATCTTTTACATTTGTTGCGAAACTTGCCAATTCTTTTCTCATCATCTTCAGGTGTGAAGCCTTCTCCACGTATCCGAGGACCTATGATCTGATTCATGCTAATGGACTCTTCAGCTTATACAAGAATAAGTAAGCGTTCTTCTTTTTAAGGCACTCATAGGACAAGTTTTATACTCCCTCCGTCCCTAAATAAACTTCATGGTTGGACTTCAAGGAGTTCAAGAAACGTGTTGAATAGTAAAAAAAAGTGTTTTATTTATTAGAACATTGGTCTTAATGATGCAAAAACCGGACGCAGGTGTGAATATGAAGACATTCTTATAGAGATGGATAGGATCTTGAGGCCAGAAGGGGCAGTGATCATCAGGGACGAAGTCGACGTGCTTGTAAAGGTGAAGAAGATAATTGGTGGCATGCGGTGGGACTTCAGATTGATAGACCACGAAGACGGTCCCCTCATCCCAGAGAAAATCCTTGTTGCAGTCAAACAGTATTGGACTGTGGGTGGGACCAACTCTACTATCAGTGTAACACAATGAGGAAAAAGGAAGTTGGCAACCCTTTGAGCAGCTAGAAAGACAGAGGGGGGGGGGGGTGATTATACAAGCAGTTTGATGGTAAAAATCCCCTTCCATTCGTTTTTACCACACGAAGCTTTGCTCCACAAGGGGATTCGTTCGTCAATGGAGCACGCGGGCTATGGTGGTGTAATTTATTTATATCTTCTCTT